ACCAAAAGTCTTACGATGGACTCGGGCATCAATGGAACACACGCATGCACCTCTTGCATCATTGCTGCGAGAGAAAATTAACTTATCTTTTGTTACAATGTAATATTAGTACACGACATTTTTTATCAATCGATCGCGGATAAGAATTATTATTCCAAGGTTTAGCCTGTGTCAAAGAGGTTTCGATCGATGCACTAGATGATTCAATACCTTTTTTTTTTTTTTTTTTTTTTTTTTTCTTCAAGCTCGACGGATCACGTAATGTGTGGCCTGTCTATTTGGGAATTCGGATTGGCTCTCATAGGAGGGGAAATCGAAAAATAGTTGTACATCGATAACGTTGATTTGCAACAAGCATTCAAGGACAACGTCAACACAAGTGCCTTACTCTAAGTGTGCTGCAGATAGTCGGGCACCTCCCCTATAGTGAAACAATAATATAATTATAATAGTAGCTTCCATTTGAAATGGCACGGTTAGGCTAGCTAAACTTTACAAAACAGGTGACAAACATCAAGAGCCCACAATCTGCACCCCACAACGTTTGACAGCTCTCGTCTTACAATTTCCAGCACAGCTGATATTCTCTACAAAATACACCTTGTTTTTCAGTATTCTTTTTTTCGCCAAAACTATCGTATCCTATATACCCACAAAAAAGTTTAAAATTTAATCAAACCCTATATGCTACTATGGGGATGTAATGTGACAATTAAAAGGCATACTTGAAACAACATGTACTAAATAGTTAGTATTGAAGCGCGTCACGCCAAAAAAAAAGGCAAAACGAGTCGAGTTATCGTGAAAACTGGTAAAAAGTACTTGCAGAAGAAAACAGAGCTCTCAAGAGGTGGAGGAGATCATTGCCACTAGTGTATATTCACCCAACTCTATTAGACATCGACCCAACAAAAAAAAAAGTGAAATCCAGCTCGGTGTTATACTAAGTAGATGCACGTGGAAATAGTATGGAGCTGCAAAGAGAGAGAAAAAATTTGCAATGTTGCTGCAACGACGAGAAAGTGCTTACATTGTTGTTTGATTTTGATGCCGCGCAGTCTGCGCCGTTATCGCGCCACAGATTGCATTAATTGCCGCTTTACTACTCATGCACAGCTACAAGGCACGAGATGACGAATGGCGGAAAAGAGAGTGGACGCCTTACATGATTTGCGGAGAAAAAACAAGTGCGCTCATCCGCAGTGGCCCAACTCCGTTATTTACAATGAGCAACTTCTCTTTCTTCCTCTTATCGCTATCGCCGAGTCATTGACGTACAGCTGTGAGAAAAAGAGTTTTCGTATATTGAAAACTCGATGGTTATTCATACCTCGATCGCGGATGTATGCGAAGCGTGAAAAAAAAAAAAAAAGTTCTTCGGTCTTTAACACGGCTCCGAGAATAAAGTGTTTCAGGTGAATTTCCAAGCCTTGTTTTTACATAATAACGTTTTATTATCCTTCACGCCGGCCTCGGCCTCAGCTAGCGCCAACATAATAAAATCTATGCCATTGCACTGTGAATTTCCATCTAGTTCTAAATGCGTCACACGCACACTGCACTGTGTACTCTTGTATAATTTTTCATTCTGACGATTTGTGTAACTCCGATCTGTAAGATCTGCTAGGGTTCCGCGGCCGGAACTATTGACTTCATGAATCAAATAGTAAAGTATACCGAAAAAGATGAAAAATCGTGTTTTAAACGCATTATTAAAATGCTTGGTAGCACTGATCTTTATCTGGGTGGATCGATTTTTTTTTTTCAAGGCAATCGATCGGATGAACTATCGGTTCAAGCGAAAAGACGCAACCGTGTGCATCATTTTTACGAACCAACTGTCGATTGTATGTGACCTTCTTATTGTTTTTTTTTAGTAAGGCACAATATTTGGGACCAAAAAATCGTTTGTTGAAATCTACTTACTATGTCTTGGGTAGCGCACGCGAGTTGCAAGTTATTGATGAATAAACGTGTTTTCTCAAAACACCGATAAACCGCGCGATAATCCGAATCGTAGGTATTAGCCGATCGGATACTGCAAACTATTTCCGATATTCCATGCGCAAGAAGAAGAAGAAGCTGTTTTCTCGTTTCCCCGAACGCGAAAACACGAGAAGGATGACTCACTTCCGAATAGTAAACGTTTTTTGATTTCTCGTTTCTAGAATCTCCAAAGGGAAAAAAATGTCGTACGTAATAGTGCGTCGTACGTTCGATCGTCAGAATGTATGTCATCGTTTGTGTACACGATCGAGTTGCTTGCAGATTTTTCCTCGTTCGGAAAACGAAAATCAGCTGCTGACCCGCGAGCACGCAATCACTTGTTTCATTACGTGGCGTGCGGCATAAGTATACTATTTCCGAGAAGGTAATCGGTGGCTGTGGGACTTGAAAGTTGCAAAGTCGGCGAAAGCAAGCGTGTCTCATTTTTCTTATCTTTTTAGCGTCTAAAAGTATAACCTTGGCGTTCACGCACATGCATGTTTACTAACGTAAACATGGAAAAAATTCTCTACTTTTCAAAGCCATTGGCAACTTTTGATCGTCAGGTTGTTTTTGGTTCAATCACGATTTCACGCTGTCTCGCGCATATTTTATGCATCATCGTTTCCTTTTGTAACTATAATAGCACGCGCTCGTGTCGGTGTATCTCTCACCGATGGTTTCCGTGTTGTAGTGCGGTTGCATACGCTCTTTTTTCACAACACCAAGTTCATTTTTTACCGATCGCTTGTCGCGCATACGAATTCCTTATTACGAGGGGAGAGTTGTTTTTTTTTTTTTTTTTTTTTTTTTTTCAATAGTAATTACCATATATCAAGTAACATTTGTCTCTTAATAGACATATTATTCCGGAGTTGTTTTTTTTCTTCTTGTTTCAATGGGCTTGCACCGGACTCTGGTGATTCTGGAATTTTCCATTCAGAGAAAAAGAGTACGACAAATCTCTTGTGTTGATTTTTTTTATGATTTTTACTGCGAGCCAATTCCCACCTTGGTTGTTACTGATTTTGCGTGGAAAAGTACGCGCGAGACGTAAACACTGACATCCCAAGGTATTATAGCTGCAATCACTTGTTGATTTGAAAATATACATCCGCACCGAATGACATGGTGGAAGGAGTAGGTGATGCAGTAAATTTTCATCAATACAATTACGCATCGCAGTCCTCCTTTTTAAGGCTAAAATTTATGTGATTGAAAAATGTATAGGATGTAAAAAGCGATTGAACTACAAACCCACAAATGCTTATCGATTGAAATTTTATGTGTACTTCTCTCATAGAATTCTTTATGTTACACAACTTGAATTACTTAGTTTAGCCTTTAAAAATTTTAATTTCTAAAAAAGTTTGATCATATACTTACTATAAGTTCTATGTACATATGGTTATATAGAGACTTTCGATACGTACGAGCAGTGATCATTTTCAAGTACATTAATAAAAAAAATTTGTTATTACTAGTGTATACACGAGCATATATGCCATCGCGAAGATATTTAAAATGAATGTCCAAACGACTCTAGTTCCTGTAAAGATTCCCATGCAGACAACCACAACAATTTGAAGAGCACACCATAAAATATATATCAGGGAAGTTGCTTGTGCGCCTTTTAGAATAATTGTATTGAGATGCTTTAGCATTAATTATTGTTTATTTGCAAAAGCATAACGTATGTTCTTAAAATAAGGTACCGAAAAAGTTGGTGGGAGAATAATATACTCACATAAACTCATGAAAAAAAAAAAAAATGCAAGCGACAGTTTAGAAAAAGAAAATGTCTAGTTTCAAGGAACACTTTACAAAATTCTTTGTCCCGCAAATGAAAGCGAAGCTGCAAACTTGTTATTCAATTTCTGTCTTTCATAATGAATTTTTTCGCATATTCACTATCGCACTATAGAGTGTTGCAAAGCGTTGCTCTCGCCAAGCTATATATACTTAGTAAAGAGTCAGCAAGAGCATATTATACGACGCGTCGTGGGCGAAGCGTCGCGCGTATTGTAAAAATGTACGACAATGTAAATACGTAGCCAAAGATTTGAAAGCGAGCGAGTGCACGAAACATGCATGTGCGGAGCAAACGAGACAACGAAGACGCCGGCGGCCGAGAGTCTAGCAAGACTCGGGCAATAGCGTTGACCCTTCCGCGAAGAAGCCGCCGAGAGAGTGTCATCAGTTTCCGATATCGCTTTTCGTAATTTTCCGTCCGCGCTCATGGGCGACCTCTGCGACTCTTTCCCCCTATATCTTTCTCACTCGTCCTCCTCTCCATCGGCGCCTCGCGATTCTTGTTCCACGGGACTTTTCGACGGTACTTACTTTATTTAATTACGAGCAGCGTTCATTCGCGCGTTGTTATCCGAAGTTGAGCTTCGACGGGGCGATTGCGTTGCTCAATTTCATTGAGAAATCTCGCGCCAGTGTTTTTTCGCTATGAATTTCAGCTCGTTATCGCGGTGCCGAATTGCGCATTTTTTTTTTTTTTTTTTTTTTTTTTTTTTTTTTTTTTTTTTTTTTTTTTTTTTTTTTTTTTTTCTTTTCGGCGCTTCTTTATCGAAAGCGAGCGCGACGGGACGTGTGTAAAATTTACATCACGCGTCGCAGAAAAGTCTCGCGATTCCCGAACACGGCGTTGTCTACGTGCCGATCAACCAACAGTTTTACGTTGGAGCGACAAATTGTTTTGCTCTAGAAGTACATGCAGCGATGATATCTCTTTTTTTTTTTTTGTTTTTTTTTGTTTTTTTGTTTTTTCAGCGACAAAGTAAGAAGCTTACGTACGTGCGCCTAATTAAAATTTATCTTATTATTGTGCAAGTGTCGCTATCGGCAATAACTCATGGCGAATTCCGTGATTCGCGCACAAGTCGTTTCGGGGGTATGAAATTTATGCGCCTCGGTAAAGCTGATTTAAAAAATTGATGTCAAGAGCAGTTTGGGGATTTTTCCAATAAAGTTTGAAGCGAATTTTTAATATCCTAGGTGGCTTCGAGGGCGACCTGACGCTGTGGTGTAGGCTCCTCTTGCCCGGCGCGGTCAAACGAATTTACAACCTACAGAGCAAAGCTTTGATAAAACTGTTCGGGCGGATACTCCAGCAAGACGAGGACGCGATGCTGGAGGATCTGGAGCAGGGGGACGTAGCCATGACCATCAAAAGGTTTTTCGAGAGTAGCTCGGCTGTCGAACCCCGCGCGACGAGTGACCTCACCTTACAGGAGGTATACGAATCGTTTATTGGCCGATTTCAGTCCGAGACTGAGGGTTGCTTTTGTTTCGCAGGTTGACGAGTTTTTAGAAAAATTATCCACGCTGACCAAGGAAGACGAGCAAACCTACCACTTCAAGTCCATATTGAACAGGTAGAGTAGCTTGCTACGTTTGATTACCAAAACATGTATACGTATAGTCTTTTAATCGAAAAATAAATCATCGATACCATTGAGGAATGTTGAAACGTGACGTTGCAGGTGTACAGCCGATGACCTGAAAATGATCATTCGCTTGATAAAGCACGACTTGAGGATCAACGCCGGGCCGAAGCACATGTAAGCAAAGCCATTCAAATCGTAGTCTACGAAAAGACTGAGACCGGTGTTTTTTTTTTTTTTTTTTTCTTGTTTTCAGTCTGGGTGCCGTCCACGATGACGCCTACGCGGCGTTTCAGGCGTCGAGGGATCTCCCCGGCATCCTGCATCGTTTTCGGGGAGTTTCCTCCTCGTCGCCTTCGGCGTGCGGACCGGAAATCGGCAAAGCCGCGACTCTGGCGCTGATGACCCCGGTCCTACCGATGCTCGTAAGTCTTGTTTTTTTTTTTTTTTTATTAAACCTCGTTACCGAAATTATCTAATCTCCTTTGGCAAGTTGCAATGCGCCGGGCGGCACTTTTCCTGCTTCGTCCCGCCATGAGACGATTTTTAATAATAAATAACCTCTAGCGAATCGGACAAACACATCTTTTTTGTATTCTCCTCGAAGATTATCGATGCACGTGTCGAATTTATTTAATTTTTTTGTTTTTTCATTTTTCAGGCCGAGCCTTGCAAGTCCGTCGAGATGGCAATGCAGAAATGTCCAAATGGTATGCTGTCCGAAGTCAAGTACGACGGCGAGCGGGTGCAGGTCCACAAAAGGGGCAGCAGTTTCCTCTACTTCAGCCGCTCGCTGAAACCAGTTTTATCTCACAAAGTAAGTGACGGCTTGTGAAATTTTTATGCTGTTGCGACATCGAAAAATTCAGGAAAGTTAGCTCTTGTAGTTGGCAATCTGACACGCGCAGGAATTTTATATAATACGAGAACGTAGGCAATCACTGGCAGTTTGTACGAGCTGTGTATGCTAACAAGGGAATTTTCGCTCAAGTAGATTTTCCAGTGGTACGGAGAAACGCGTTCAGCCCTAATACGATTAAAGGCGCTTGAGTTTATTTTTGGAAAATCAAGGGAATCCCGGGAAAATCAAGCGAGCGCCAACGTTATGTTGTTGATTGATGAGCTAATTGATGCTCTCTAAATGGCATCCATTACTTTACTTTTTCTTTTTTTCTATTCCATTGTGTTCTTTCTCTCGTCGAGTGTCTTTGTCCTGTCTCTCGTGAATAAATGTGCGCGTCGCGTCGGTGCAAAAAAGAGAAAAAAAAAAAAAAAAAAAAAAAAACGAATGTATCGTAGTACATCACAATGAAAAAAAATGCCATTATCGACAATATTACATAGCGGTTGGGTAATACAAAATTTCGCGGCAGAATCAATGAATTGCTCGTTGTTTGGCCTCATCCGAACTATTTCTACTTTGTACTGGATCTCATCGAGTTGCTCAATTGTGTGGAGCATATAACAAAAAATCATTGTCAGTTACGGCTCTGATGATCAAGTTCATGATCACAATGCTTTTATTTTTTCAAATGGTTGAGTTTTATGGACCCTTGAATCATAAATTTTAGGTGAACTTTTTAAAAGAGTACATACCGAAAGCCTTCCCGCACGGCGATGATCTAATACTCGATTCGGAAATTCTCATGGTAGACGCGCGAGACGGCAAACCTCTTCCTTTCGGATCACTGGGTGTTCACAAGGTATTGTTCCGTCAATGTAACTTTGGATAATTGCTTTTATTAATGGTAAATTAACGTTTTTCAGCGGAGCGAGTTTAAGGATGCAAATGTGTGTCTCTTTGTTTTTGACATTATCTACTACAATGGAGAATCACTGTTGAATCGGTAAATATACGTAATTTGTCTCACTGCATTTCGTGTGACTATTTTTTCCATACCAAACGCTTAAAATGTCATAAAATTACCTTAGAACAATGAAAGAAAGAAGAAAACTGTTGGAGCAAAAAATGACGCCCATAGAAAACAGAATAATGCTGTCGGAAACTCAGGAAATCAAGGTACGTGCTTGAAATGATAATAACAATAAACATAATCTAATGCTAAAAATAATTATGACTACGTTTTCAGGATTCACGAAAACTGGCGGAAATGATAGCCAAAGTGTTCAAACTTCGCTTGGAGGGCCTGGTGTTGAAGGACGTTGACGTAAGTTTTGATTTTAGTTTCGTTTTTTCAATAGCATTGATTTTCACCAACATTTGAAATTTCCATTTAACTGACAGAGCAAGTACGAGCCGGGGAAAAGGCACTGGTTGAAGGTAAAGAAGGATTATTTGTTTCAAGGGAACATGGCCGATAGCGCAGATCTCGTAGTGCTCGGCGCTTGGTACGGCACCGGGAAAAAAGGTATTCCTCGCAATTTGTATTATTTAAAATTTCAACCCTACTCATAAACCATCCGAATACCTGTTTTTGTTTAATTAATTCCTCAGGTGGCATCATGTCGGTATTTTTGATGGGTTGCCATGATCCTGATAAAGATGTTTGGCTGACAGTTACAAAGGTATGACACGTGGGTCTTAAAATAATGTAAAATAAAGCTTCAGCTCCAAGATACGTATTCCTGTTTAGGTGCACGGAGGTCACGACGACGCAACACTTGCCGAACTTCAAACTACCCTGGACATGGTGAAAATAGGAAAAGATCCGAATCTGTTGCCCAAATGGCTGAAAGCGAATAAAGCTATGGTACCCGATTTCGTGGCAAAAGATCCCAAGGTAAGCTTTCGTGTCGCGTATAAGCTCGACTACTGAATCACGTAGTAGTACATGTGATGAGTGTATAAAAAAACAAAAACACCGTAGAAACAACCAGTGTGGGAAATAACAGGAGCTGAATTCACGAACCAAGGCCAGCACACGGCCGACGGCATCAGCATACGCTTCCCACGCGTCACGCGCATACGTGATGACAAAGACTGGAAGACGGCCACTAACCTGCCAGAGCTTCGCACCCTCTTCAAAAACAGCGCAGATTCGGTGGATTACTCGCTCCTCCTTGGCACGCAAGCCGACACCGCTTCTGGTAAGCGTCCGTTGGACAGTGAAAACGAGTCCCCAAAGAGAAAATCACCGAAGAAACAAGGACGATCCGAGAATGGAGAAGCTTCGACGTCCAGAGCAGACTACTCGCGAGCCGCCACCACTTCCAGTAAGCGACCGTTGAACAGCGACGATGAGTCCCCGAGGAAAAAGTCATCGAAGAAACGAAGACGGTTCGGAGATGAAGCATCGACGTCCAAACCAGATTACTCGCTCCTCCTTGGCTTAAAAACTGACTCGGATTCCAGTAAGCGTCCGGTAAAAAATAACAGTAAGTCGAAACAAGGCTGGTCCAGAGCTGGAGAAGCCTCGACGTCCAGACGGGACACTCGGATGTCGGATGACGAAGGGTCTTGCAGCGGCTCCGATGTTAATTTCAGTGCGACAACTAGCAAAGATATCGAGTCAAAGACGAATGAGACCAAAAGGCTGTTTACCAAAAAATCACCAGTAAAATCATCCAGTAAGGTGATATCGGAGTACTTTAAACGATCCCCCGAGCACACAAACAAGGACGAGCTGGACCGAGCTGACGTGAACGACAGATCTGACGAGGAGGGCAAAGCAGAATTTTATTCCTTCATCGGCATGGATGTGAGTTTTTGCTTTCTTAATGCTATTTATACACTAATGTACAGCTGTGGTTCTAACAGCTAAGTTTGTTACTTATCGTAGTACATCGAGTACAGCGCGGCAGGTAGTCCCTTGAATTGGGTCGAAGGTAGAAAGCCACCGAAGCATCTGCCGAAAGAAGCAAAACCTATATCAGAGCGCGATGAAGATAAAATGGTACGTTGAATTTTACACATAACTTGCAATGTTGGTAGATGATGATCTAATATGCACTATCTTCACAGAGGTCGCGCTGTTTACTGTACAATACCCGTATTTATTTAGCTAATGACCTTGATCGAGAGAGAAGACAAGCTATTCAGCGAACTCTGAAGACGTATCCTTTGAATAATTTATTAAACTGTCTTGCTTGGCGTTTGCTCAGGTTTATACATTTATAATTTTCTGAAGGTAAGATAAATATTAGGGTGGTATTTATTTTAGTAATTTATTAGTATTTTAAGAATCAATGGAAATCTTGTACGGATACTTAAATTTTATAACGATATTTATATTTGACAAAATTCGAACGTGCACTCTTCATTTGAGGCATCGCATGTTACATTGTATTGTAAATATCTTACTTTCCAACAGTATTTATAAATGTCAAAATAAAACTCTTATTATTATTGCAAACAACACGCGAATATGTGTATTAGCCTTAGTAAAAATGTAAATAATTGATGGAACTGTTTATTTTCAAATTCGGTGGCCGAGAACCCTTTCCTCTGATTCTTCCACCTGCATTAACCGTATTCGTCCGAAGGGGTAAAAAAAACAGGTACCAGAAATACAGCTGCACTTAACAGATTAAAACTTTTATGGAAACGTACTGGTCCATAATTTATTTTAGGTTTCGCTCGGCTAAACTTTACTTTCGGCGTATGAGAAAAATAATTCAATTACGCGTGTTTACGGACACCCGTATTGAGTTTAATTGAATACTTGCAAACTCACACGGAAGTTCACCAAGTTCAGTGATCAAAATGTACAATTTGCATTTATATTTGTTCAACTTATAACAATAACTATTCAACGTAGTTCGGAGGTAAAACAAACGAAGGAAAGTTGATATTGCGGGCACCTCTTTGCGTAGATAAACGAAACTTCTTTTTCCTTAATTGAAACACACATAGACTCGGTGCAACGGTCCTTCCCGAGGTAGAACAATCTCGAGCGACATACGTAATTCACGGACGTTCTCAGGTCCCTTCCACGATTTTATCCGTAAGTTTTAGTGCTATTTTAATTCATTATTCGTCAGGCTGATCTGCAACATTATAAAAAAATTTTAATAATTTTCGATTCTGGAGTTTTTTTTTTTTTTGAGAAATTACAATGTTGTGATTTGCTATTTTGTATTTATTCAGGAGCCCACGAATGTGCCAAAGTCAGCTAGACACGTGACAGAGTCCTGGATAGACGATACAGCTGCTAAGAGTAAAATTGCAAACGCCGAGAATCACGCGGTTACTTTGTTCGGGGTTTATTGTTCCTGTCGGTGTCCACATATGGAGGATTAATTTGTGGACTTGTTTTTTTAGTGAACTCTAAGACCGTCATTCGATTAAAACTTTCGCTCAATAATCGTATCGAGAATATTGTAAGAAAAATCATGGATTCTTTATTTTTGTATCAATTGTACAATAAAACACGAAAATGATTAATTTTTTTGTAAAACTGTGTTCAAATTACCATTTGTTGTACGAATGAAAAATAAAAGTTATAATATATATGAATTAAAATCTTTATTTTGTTTTGTAAAACATGAAAGCCTGGAAATGGTATTAAAAGTAAGGTCCTTTTGCAATATACGTCACGAGGAAGCATTGCAATGAGTATGAAAAATCCTGCCTTATCTTAAAAATTATTACGTTTGTACGGAAAGGACAGAAAACTTGATTTAAAAAATGATAAAGGAGAAAATTACTTGACGGTAACTAATAGACACGGCAGACGTCAGATTCCAATTTACGATTCAGTAAAGACTGATGGAGGGAGCATTTTTATACTCGTTTTAATATTTCTAAAATTAGAAAGATTCGTCCAACAAATAAATCTAAAAATCTAACGTAAAAATTGAGAACAGGTCAACCAACGTTTGCATTGTAAAGAAAAAAATACCCACCAAACCATTTTATTGGTCTTTCTTCTATATAGCGATCCCGATTCCTGAGAAATGTATTTTTCTAAAAACGTCGGACACTTTTGCCCGCTATTTGGCTAAGCTACGCGTTGGATTTACTTCCCTTTGATTTTCCGGTTTTTCCTTCTTCTCGGGACTCCTTCGAATAACTTCCATTTCATAACTTTTTTCCTTCGGTACTATTTGTTCGCTCACCTTAAATAAACTATACTGATATTCACAGTCGCGTATACTTGAATTATTTTTCTCGAATAAATTATCAAATGGTTGTCGAAGCTTTTCCCTTTTCCAAACCAATGGATTAATTTGTAAGTGCCATCGCATGAAATTCAAATAAACGAACAAATGAAAATCGTCAATAACAGTAAAAATGGCCTTGCGGCGAGCGTGTACAACCAAGTACAAATCGAATCATCAAATTGCTCGTAATAACGCGTATTCAAAGCGACCGCAAACGCGATTTGCATTACTAAATTAGCTGGTGCACGTAGAGAGGGAAAAAATAAGGATTTCGTTATGTTGTGCACTTTGACGAGTTTTTCAATGCATCCATAAAACAGTCGTTTGTCATTTTTAAGTGATTGATGGTGGAAAGCCTTTAGAGGTGAAATATCATCTCTTTTTCTCCGGCGTGCACGCGCAGTAAAACTGATTTAATACCAGTGAAAAAACGACCAAGAGAACAGTAAAAATTCAGCCAAAGGTCCTTTCGCTCGAAGAGAAAAAAAAAAAAAAAAAAAAAAAAAAAAGAAATGAGGACGAGTAGCCCAGAGGGGGTTGATCGTACCTTCGTAAAATAACGTTGTCACCGTGAAATCGGAGGAGCAGAGCGTCCGTGAAAGTACAAGCACATAATACCTGTAGCTGACGCGCGTTACCCGAGTACACATTGCACATGTAATAAAATGGGATATAGAGCGAGTTCACAAACCTGTGTACACACCTACTTACGGCAGTACGAGTGGCACAGGAAAGTAAGGAAAATTAGATTGTAACCCCATCCAAATGGCATGCATTTTTTTCCAATATACCTGTACACGTGTAGCTGTAGGATTTCGAATTAGTTATTCTAAAGATACTAGGTAGTGAAAAAACGGAGCTGAAATCCGATTAGGTATAGTTTTTGAAAAACGCATTTATTAAATGTTGTTTTTTTACCCATGGGAAAATTAATTTACATTATAAGGCCGATGGCCACGGCGGAGTTTTTTTGAAAAATCTAACGGTTTAGCATCGGAAAAAAAAGTCATTGTCGTGCAAATCCAAAATCAACGAAATCCAAAGGCACTCCGATTTTTATATTCAATCCTCGATCCGGTGCTACGCAGTAAATGAAGTCACAGCCCCTGAAACGCCCAGCATTAGGGATGGCCGTAATGGGTAAGTATAAGTATACCTACTTTCCGTCACGTATCACGCATCAGGGCTTGATGAGGGTAGCCGTGTACATATGTATACACCTACGGTTGCTCGGACTGTTCAAGCACTCGGGGGATGGAAGCTGCGTATACGTGTACATCGGAGGGCGGGGACTCTTTACGTGACTTACACGCGAAGAGGGGGAGGGACCGGTTCTCTTGCAAATACGTCTCTCGGGGTGGCGAGAGACAAAGAGCGCGGAGGAAACAACGCGACCGTCCCTCCAAGGCGATTTTTAAAAGGACGACCGGGTCCACGTCCTCCTCGACTTTTACGCCCCACCTATACTTTTTTATCCCCTATACCCCCGACTTACGCTCTGCAGTAATTTCGGCGAGATGTACATCTCTGCTGGGGTGTTTTGATGCCTCGGTCCGTCTTGTTAAAGCCATTTTATACCTACACCCTCCGTAAGCTTTGACTTGGTTTATACGTACACGACATCCCCCCTGTTTGCTCGCACCCATGTATATATGTCATAATGGTAATATGAAGCACAAGAGCCATCGTGTATTGCGTCAGAAATTGAACGACCGAGCGGCTACGCGCGTAAGTACAAGTGAGCTGTTTGTTGAAATATGGTAAAACGCTTGGCCTACATAACATACGTGACATATTCGAGTGCACGTCTCTCGATACATCAATGATTTCGATTGGACATTCTTGGTATACCTTGGAATCGAAATATGCGCCTTGTACTGTTGATTTTTATAAAAAACATCAAGTGATAAGGGGCTGCATTTTATACGATGTTCAGGACACGCACTTGCCACACTGCCTGGTATCTGGATAATAAATAAAGCTGGATTCGTTTGAGTTGCTCTCGTTGCCTTTGACATGTATCGACAGCTGAGTGGAGGAAAAAGGAAAAGAGGCTTACGGATTTTTTGAAACACCTCGAATGACGCGTTTTCTCGAACAAATTTTACGATGGGCTGAAACGTATTTTTCTGAATCACCGCGAGACGACACGTTGTTCCACTCAAATCGTCTTATTCCTGAAAGTATACCTTCATGTGTGTATACCCACGAGCTAACTCTCGTGACATAATTTTTCCCGCACTTTTTCTTTTCCCGTCCCTTGAAAACGTAACCGGATGTGTTGTGGTAATCCAAAGCGTGCGGTGCAGGGCGGATCGATGCGTCACAACGACGAGAAGCCTTTCGTCTTCGTAGAAACTTTTCCTCGCGCTAAATTGAGTCTCGCGGCGTTGGAAACAAATTCACGTTGCAAAATGTCCCTCCTCTGGCTTCCTCGTGATCAGCACACTCGGTTTTTTTTATTTCCTTCGATCCGTTTGGAAAATTTACCCTTTGAAGATCGGAGAGCTGGAATATTTTCTCTCCCATTCGAGCCGGAAACCATACTGTAAAAATTGGTGAATCTGCAGCGTCGTTGTCTGAAAAATTTGGATTTACAAGGATAGGGCACAGGTAATGGTGGCAATCACAAAATAGATACTCATGGGGATTTGCTTAAAAATACTTTAATTGTGCTCATGTTGTACTTAAATTTACATGCTTTTACAAGTAACACAACGAACAATGGTGTGTCGATAATTACACAACCATATCACTTGAAATTATAACATTTTTCAATAACGTGTCGTATCAAACGATTTTGAAAGTGTAATACAAGCGTTGAAATTAATTTTATTTCCACATTTGACGAACATCCATGGGACCACGTTGATAAAAGAAACACAAATTTCTACCGTAGCGATGATTATTGTTAATTTTTTTTTTTTTTTTTTTTTCTTATTTCATTTTCGAGCTTACACTTAATCATAAACATGTATAAACTCTATCGGAACATCGCGAAACAAAAACAGACTCGCAGCCATTGTCGAGCAGAAAAATGCAGTTGTCGAATTACATTCAGCAAACCGGAGATTCGCACCTACTCATCCGTCACTTTTTCTCGCAACTACGTCTAACTGGCTGAAAGTCTAACGGCTAGTAACTATATAATAATAATAATAATAATAATAATAATCATATGTGCTCGAGAACGAAGGCTGCAATTTCGATCCCTCGGATCTGTCGTTAGCTGCCAATTAGGTTTTCCAAAACACGTACTTACTTTTATTTCTTTATTAATTTTTGCCATACGAATTGTGTATGTGCATATTACAGCGACAGATGCGAGTATATTATACGTCAAGCTCGTGCATACATTGCACCCGCAAGGGTGACATTAATTTTTCACTCGTAGTATTCGTACGTGCGTCAAAATTTAATTTTTTTTTTGTACCTTTGGTATGATAATTATTGACTATATTCGTTACAGGAACACAAATCAATTTTTGTACAGCAGGAAATTGAGCCCGACATGAGAAATGTACGGTTGTTGACATGAAAAATCCAATGAAACAAATGGGTAAAAGTCTCAAACACGGACAGATTAAAACAGACACGTGTCTTGCATTCGAGTCAAAAAATTATTGGTTACTACCATACTAACGCGGACTTCAACACAAGTACATCTATACGGTGTAAAAACTCTCAATGGCCATCACATTAGTGATGAAGAGGAACGCAAGACACACACGAAGTTGCACGTGCACGCAGACACGTGGGAGAAATATGTAAAACAATCATAGTGATTCGCACACCTGCATGACAAAACTACGGAGCACATGTCTCGACCGAACACAACGTAAAAGGAGTGCTATAGTGAAGGGCAGGAAACAACGAGGATCTACACAAAGTGACACGTATAGACTGAATCGTCTTGAAATCTCAAAATTTGAATTCGGAGGGGGGGGGGAGGAAGAAGCAGCGCGTTGTCATTATCCCTCGTTCGGCGTAGTTGCGGATGGGCGCTCTACTTGCCGAAGCAGGAGACGGCGTTGAAGGCGCACTGCCGCCAATAGTTGCGCTTGAGCTGGAGGTCCTCGATGCTGTTGGGCGGATTGCGGCGTTTCACGAGGAGCAGCCGCCTACCGAGCAAGTAGTTCACCAGGTCCCTTTCCAACGCCGTGGTCTCCTCGTCCCGCTCGTCCGCCAACTGCAACAGGAGCGAGTGGATCCTAATTACCCTTCATCCGACACTCCCTCTACCAACCACGTACGCCTCCGCTCGCTCGAGGGGATTAACGGGCTCTCCACTGTCGGGGGCCGCGTAAGTATCTCGTCTTTCTCGTATTATCGGGCAACCTTTCATCACTTGCCAGCTACTTTGTTTTACAATTTTCCCACCACTACGCGGGCCACATGATACGACTATTTTCTCATTTTTATTAATTCGTACGAGGTAACGACAATTTCACCGATTGATCATTAAAATGATTTGTCCCCGTCAACAACCCTCCCGTTGAGGGAACGCCGATCAATTGGTTGAGTTGATTGATACGTTGGTCGTTGTTACACAATATCTATATACCTTTCATCGGGTGTAGGTACACCGCAACGATGATCATGATTATGGCCGATTCTACTTTCAAGACATTTTTTCCGATCGCGTGAAATACATATATCGGTAACGAAAGTTTATTCATTGGCAGTTGTTTGAAAAGTTTTAATCGAATTGGATCAATGTAATTATTATCATCGACTCCTTTTTTGCTTGAATGATAAAAAAAAAAGGGGTTCAAACAAAAAAGGGGGTCGCGATGAACCAAACGAAAGCCAGCATTCACCGGTCGATGTCTTGAAAAATGATTATGCATTAGCGTTGATGAGAAAAAGCACAAAAGCGGAATGTTTGACGAAAACGGTAAGGATGTAATATCACGAAAAACGACAGCACGAGGACAGAAGTATCATTGTATACACAACATGTAATAAGGCAAGAGGGCGATGGAGGGAGGGGGGGGGGGAGAAGGAAGCTATACTGTTAACGCCAGATGCACGACATTAGAGCTCTCTCTCCCGGGTAAATTCGTTAAAAGTTAGGTACACCTCGGAGCGGTGCGTTATTTGCGCCAGGGGGAGGCAGTCCGGCCTGTAATAAAATCAGACGGGCCTCTCTCGCCAATCTCGGACGCGGCAATCGGAAGATCATCCGTATCTGCGTGTAGGAGGGGGAGCCCGCGACGGTATACACGTATACATTACAGGGTCGGCCGTCCGTGACGACGTTATCCTCCTCCCCCGAGACGACGGCTGGTCTGGAGGAGCTATATATATACACACACGTGCTTGGCCCAAAAGAATCACGAGCCATTATCTCACGCTGACGCCCATCCATTGCGTATGTGTGCGCGATCGCCCTTTCCGTAGGGGGTATAATCGAGAGATCACATCTCTCTTTTTTTTCCTAATGCCACCTCTAGGCAAGAAAATTCCGATTTCACGCGTGCTCATTTATAAATTTGCCCTTTTTTTTTTTTCACCTCCTCGCTTTTATTTGTTTACTTTGAACGCGGAGCTTTTTCAACTTGGGGCTGATTACGTGCGGCGTTGCTGGTTTTAGTTGAATGAAATTCAGCGAGAATAAAATTACAGCATCTCCCGGTTGCTTTGCGACTGTTTGGTAATGTTGTTTCCGTACCCTCGGAAAGTTGCTGAATTACGCACGCACACGCGCACTCAAGAGTTTGGTACGTATGCAGGAAAAAGAGTACATTTAAAAAGGCACAGTCGTATCACGTGTGCACGAGTTGGCGAAACTTTGTCCAAGTTGTACCTCAGTACACGTGTTGAAGAAAGGATCTCGCGTCATATGCACGTTCAGTAGAACAAGCCTCTGTTGGGCAGACACGGGGCCAAAAGAGTTCGGCCGAGGGTCGAAGCATCGGGATCGCGATTGAACTTTCGAACAAGTAAATCAATCACCGTGAGATGTGTATCGACCCGTTTAACTCGAATTTAATATTATTCCTTGGACTTTTGTTCGGATTGGAGTCGCCCGTATACACGAGTTATATCTCCCGAATCGCGTGGACAGGGAAACTCTGTATATATAAAGTTTCTTATCGCGTGTCATTGTTGAGTCGCCTCTGTCCTGGGGAGTTTAACTTTGAAAGGCAAAGGGGAGGAGGCAGCTAACTTACCCTTCATACGTGCTTTTGTTCGTAATATTATTTTTATTACGATGGCTTTCATGTTTATCGTTAACTTGCCGTTACATCGTTCAAGTCGGAATCAAACCTCGAATTGAAAAATTGATTTTTTTGTCAAGATGGATTATAAATTGCAAAACGTCTCTACATTTATAATTTAATGTTGTTTTCTGTGTGTACAGTAAAAATTTCCTACTAGCTTTGAACGAGTTGAAGCTGGACTATTAAAAACGCGTTTCAAGTCCTCAAGTTCTATTTAAACTAAATACGCCCATCGAGATGGGATATTCATGCGACGGGGACTCTTAATTTTCAATTTGTAATACTAGTTTTTTTTTTGTTTTTTTTACCAACAGAAAACGATCGACAATCAATTTGGTTTTTCTACATTTTACTTAATATTTTATCGTTCTTTCAAAAAATGGAAATTCAATCGATGTACAAAACCGAAAACGGCTCTAAATGTAAAACGTTGAAGCGTCCAGGTCACATTGCGTAAATTAAAAAGAAAGAAAGTTGAATTTTCAAAAATAAGGTATCGCATTTTTTTTATTAAAAAGATGTACAGTATACGAAAAGTAAAAAAAAATTAAGGTTGTTTTATTTCGAACAGCTTGAAGCACGTAAAAGGTAAAGCCCACCTGAAATTAGCTCGGGAAAGTATGATTTCCAATACCTTTAGGGATTAAACTCATCCTTGCAAGGACAGGGGCTAATTAAGACCGTGATTTGTTTGCCGATATACAAGCTTCCGAAAGCTTTTATTAATAAACTGCTCGTGAGCTCGAGCTGAAGGCCCACGCACGTTAATTCCCGTTACGATTCCACAAGAGCTTCCTTTTTTTTTTTAGAGGAAATTACAGGAGAACCGGTGGGTGTATATTTTTCCCGCTGCAGAAAAATTGCCGGATGAGTTTGGAATTTTTCATTTAAACGGTCAAAGGTAAGTGGCATTCGTTGGTAAAAAATGCACTCCCTTGTGATCGGGTATGATATTGAATACATGGATAAAGCGGTGCGCGCGAGTTTCCTTGAAATATGTATAATTTTTCCATTTTGATACAACAAAGGGTTATGGAAAACAGGCCGCGTATATCTTGAATACTCGGCGTGTGCGTGCCGGTGCTGAAAAGCGGGAATGATACGTGGAAAATTTTTGACGAAGGAACGGGAATAATATTACCCGAAAAATTACATTATACTGAAAAAAAAAGTTACGCAACTCGTATAGCTTTTCAATTCTCGTACAAATTCTCATCAAAGTCGATCAAAGACAATTTACATATACCTACTAGGCAGTGAGAAATTGTTGTACATTATTTCTCATTACGAAACAACGTGAAAAAACTAATACAGGAGAAAAAAAATTAGTTCCCGGTAAACTTTTGAATAACAGAAATCACTCCGGCGATTAATTGCCCCGCAAAACTCTAGGGAAAAACTGGCAAACAATCGCGCGGCACAAAAACGTTGGCGGGAATTCATTACGGTCCCGGCTTTTCATTAAGGAACTCCATTTTTTTAGTAAAAAAAAAAAAAAAGGTGTTGCGCAATATTTCGTCCAATGAAATGATTAAAGGCGCGGTATAACGGTCCTTAATAAGATATTTACTTACAGCGAGACCGTTTATAATGGCCTGTTTATCCTCCGCTGGAAAAGCCTTTGTCCAGTCGACGATGACGACGAGCACCAGCGCCGTGCTGACGACGATTCTTAGGCTCATCATTTTTTATGGCTCCTGAAAACGAGTAAACACCTTTAATCCCGCGTGAGGAGCTTCGTCTCGGCTGATCCCACCAATGGTTCTAACGAGGGGCTCAAACTGTCCCTCTTCACTGGCACGACGGAAATTTGATCTTTAATATTTACAGTCTCGCGTATAATGTGCAACATAATGTACCACCTCGAAGTATTACGTGGAAAAAAAAATGATGTAAGCTCATAAGGTTACCAGATGCGTTTACGATTACGTACATTATTGGTAAAATCGTTACAAGCAAGTTTTGTCCGGTTATATCACGTATATAATATATATGCAAACACATTACAAGCCCCTGCTCGGTTATAGTTACTGGCACACGTATTAGTTGTTATCATTGTCGTTACTACAACAACAAAAAATTCAAGGCTTGGGTGTAACAATACCAAAGGTCTCGGGTATTGTTTGTGGGTACACCCGGGGTGACTTGCTCTTTTCTGCTGACGCAACGGAGGGTATTGTCGAGACTCGAAAGCCCCCCCCCTTTTCCGTATCGCTTTTTACCCACTTTCCTTTACAGAAGCCGAACAAACGTACCACCCCTCCCCCCTCCCCTACCCATAGGTACGACTTAATCTAACTTTGAAAAATGTAAATTCAAGATTCACGAAAACCAAGACGCCGCGAATGGATAAGCCGAGATAAATGATGGCTTTGCCGGGGTCCCGTGTGTTTCCGCTCTTCGCCGAGACTGATCGAATTAAGGCTGCGGGTGGTAGTCGCAGTGCGGTGTGTACAGCAAAGGAAAAAAAAAAAAACGTGGGTTTTCCTCCGTTTTGTAGAATATAAAGCACCCGAGAGCGAGGAAACTGGCCAGATGATAACGTCCTTTGTCCACCTGCAAGCTTATACTATTTACAAATATCCTCGCAACTGCTCGAATGAGAAAGTGCCGGCATTGAAAATTTAAATCATCCGCGTTACCGAGGGGTTTTGTTCGCTGGTGCCGGGCGAAATTGTAATTTGAATCGTGTGAAAAAACATCAAATCCTTGGGGTTATTGTTACGCCTTTTAAATTCCCCATCGAGTGACATGTAAAAGAACAGCATATTTTTTTAATAAAATCAAAATGCTTCATTAAGTGATCTTTATCAAAAAAAAAAAAAAAAAAAAAAATTGCAACATGCAGTCGTGCAAAAAAAAATACTGCCGTTATTATTCCAGTTTTGCAGTGTTATCAAGACACATGTAGAAAATACGACGTAGTATACCGCGCTGCTATCTGCGCAATAGCCGCTTATGCATTTACTGCCACTGGGTTCCAGAATTACCTCAAATTTCGCTCTCTGCTAAATTTTTAAAATATTTTTAAATACTCGTAACTGTGAAATACATCGTTTTATCTATACGTAAAACACGAATTACCTCGTGGTTGTACTAAAAAAAGGAATATGTTGTTCAATGGTATGGATTTTTTATGTTATTCATTGGCATGACTTGCTACTCTGGACGTGAGATTTTGTCAATCATGCCATTAAAGAATCATTTGGTTGAACGGCTTTCCTCCCGATTCATCGTTCGGTGCAGTGACGTTGATGAAAAAAAAAAAAAAAAAAAAAAAAAAAAAAAAAAAAAAAAAAAAAAANATGCATACCCCTCGACCTGTAATTGCTTTCGCTACGTGTTTGTTCGTTCGTTCGTTCCTCTTTTTTTTTCAAGGTAACATTTCCCAAGTTTTTGTCCACGAAGGAAAACGCTGTAAATAAAAAAAAAAAAAAAAAAAAAAAAAAAAAAATGAATAATTTTACAGATTTATTGACACTTGGTGATCAATATAAAAGCAAGTCAATAAATTTATGAAATTCATTTACACGTTTCATCGCATCGACACCGGAAACTGTGATTTCTATACCGTAAAGTCCATGTAACACACAAGATTGATTGTAAACGCCTGTGTACGCGGTGCCTCTTCCTTCCTCGCACCCGAGGCAAAATATTTGTACTCCTCAACCGTGTTATGTTTTATTTAACGCGTCTCCCCTCACATGCACGATTCCGGAATGGCTTTTTTCCACCCTGGCGCTTTCGACGTACGCCGCGTCCTAAATGCTCGACAAATACTCACCGGTGAGACCGAGGGAAGACTCCCCCCTTTGTTTTTCAAAGAAATTCTTTCCCTCATTCATCGTACTCTCGACAAAGTTATTTATATATTTACTCTTTTCAATTCATCGAAATTTCAATATCGCGATACTCCGTAACCATCAATTGGAATTCCCAAGGGTCATAAACGTACAACATGTGGGGACACACAATACCTGAATCGCTACACGTTCAAGGGCCACTTGTGCTAAATTATCTCGACGCATCGACACACTCGTCGCATCGATCGATCCCGAGTATTCCAAGGCGCCCATTATGTTAATATGATTATTGCTCGATGTTGCATTATAATTAGTTGAATCTGTATACAAAAAAAAAGCTACTCGGTTCGGTGAAACGTTAATTTACAGCCCCCCGGGAAGCCGCAGCTATTGTCGTTTGACACGTTGTACTGCGACACCATTAAAAATCAAGCCATAAAATTGGCAATTGCCCGATCAACCGCTGCAATGTTCGATAGCACGCATATGTCTTGGCTCTCGCTATGGCAAAGCCACCCCGCAGATGAAGAGAGATCCAGCCAGGGAGTCACGTACGCGGCTCGGGTCGCTTTACGGGGGAAAGAAAGCGCTGTAAAATTTTCATTGAAACAGATCCGAGTGGGCACACGCTTATATCCATCAAGTCTCAATCCTTTAACGCACCCCGGGCAGTATGCACGTCCGCCCTACATGGGGTGTGCGCGGGATGTGTCCCATAAAACTTTCGCGTGCTCCGCATGAGCAAAACGCGGGACAGAGCGACGCGCGACTTTTACGGTCTCGGCGGAAAACAAGTGGTTTACGAGCCTCCAAGCGAGCACCGATCTTTTAAGCTCTCACGGGCGTCGTTTAAGGTTAAACGCGAAATCTCGCTTTTTTTTTTTTTTTTTTTTTTTTTTTTTTCTTTTCGGTTAACGGCCGAGCGAATTCAGTTTTCGGAGTTACACCTCGTCACCGGTACTAAGTGGATGCGTAATTGGTGTGTGCTTTCACGTGCCGCCAATCAAAACAATTACAATCAATCATGCGGCTAAGATACAACGCAGTGTCTGGGACACATACGAAATTCAAATTCGTAGCGAAAAACGTTTTGTCGGTGTAAGCGGGACGTTGATTGACGTGATTATCCTCGGGGAAGGAGCAGCGACAACGATAAATAACGAAATCCAAAACGTTAGGCGAGCACATGCCGGAAAAGATAATCACGCTGATCCATCACTTTTTGGCCGGTCGACTCGATTGGAGCAAAAAAAGCGGGCCGTCGGCTTTTTGTTTTGTTCCATAGGGAGGAGAGGACCAAAAATAGAGAATAAAAATGAAAACGATAAAAATCGGTATGAACGCGGTTAAAGCGATTCATTGCCGATTGCGAATTTTTTTTTTTTCAAGCTTCGCTGAGTTACTGTATCTGAAGGGACTACTTTGAAAGAAAATTTTTTTTTTCAACGTAATGGATTTTATCTGCTTAAAAATTTCTGTATTCATCGCTATTCGGTATAAAATACCGAGAAAAATACGTTTTTAATAGATAAGTGCAATATTTAAATATTTTTTCAAACCCTTTAGCTCGAATCCTATTCTGAATTGTTTTTTCTTTTAAATTGTCATAGATTGTTTCTGCTAAAAAAAATTTTTTATCACCATACATACATTCCACTTTTAGCAAAAAATGTCTAAAGGAATTTCTTTTTTTTTTTTTTCACGCAAAGCTGTCATTTATATGTAATCAAGATTCAAAATTGGATGATAATCAAAATTCAAATTAAGGTACCATGATACGTCAGTGGCCACCGTTGTGAATTTATTTAAACGATGGGAATAAGAAAAAAACAACAGCGACAAGATGGAAACGTGACACCAATAAACGAACGGGCGCTTGAAATCGGTAAGAAAAAAGGCTTGTAGGACTTACTTGAAAAAATCGGCAGGTGTCCGGTGCGCGGGTGAAAATCGGCGTGAAAGATCCTCGGCAGAGGAGGAGGAGGAGCAAGTGCAAGCCGTTGGTATATCCGGAAGGGGAGAGCCGGTCGAGTGTCTCGGCGCCAGTGTGACTGAGCTCGCAAGCACGCGGGCACTTTATATCAGACCGGTGCTGGCAGGGAGCGGCGTCGGCGACGGTAGTGGTGGCGCCCGCGCTGTAGCGGACGACGACGCTCGCCCTCGAGGGCAAATCGCTGTGTGATCGCAGAAGAAGGACGGGACGGAAGGAAGCTGCGAACGCCCCGCGGGCCAACAGCTATACCAGCTAACTCGACTCTCCTTCACAATAAATTCAATTCCAATTTAATTTCACCCCCCCCTCCCCCTCACCCTATGTATATCTTATTTTTTTATTTACACATGATATCGTTACCCCCCCCCCACCTTGGATATACTTTCCGTTTGATCTCATTTATGTAACGCTATGCACTGAATTATTAAGGTAGCTTCCATGCGCCCTTTCATCATACGTTACAGTCACACACGATTGACGCAAACCCGCACAGGCAGTGATTTATATATTTGTGACCGAAATGCTCTCAGCTCGATTCATCTAATTGTTGTATTGTATTTGTAATTGACGTGCGTTACCATTTACCTCGACAATTTGTTCCATTATTGATGCTGGTATTTCTAACGCACAACAAAAGTTGCGTCTCTTCTCATTGACATTGAGAATCATCGAATTGCGATCGACTATTGTATAAAGGGTCGCTTTGACGAAATAATGGCACCAGGCCAGTACGCGAAGGAGTGCCAAACCGTTTAAACTTTCGCGCGATAATTTCTCAGGTACATAATTTTGGCGAAAGGTACGCGCGACGAAATAAAAGTTACTCGGAGTTGGGGCGCCCAAAGTTTACGATAAGTCGTACGAGTTGAAAATTATCGCGGCACACGCTCCACTGTACACAGTTAAGTGCGGCGCGCGTGGAAATCAGGGGGACACGCTCGCCGCCTCGGAAATCGAATGATTAATGCGTGTGCGCCTCTGCACGCCGTCACTGCCTAATGACGCCCGACAGACCTCTGATTGCCGACTGTGCACTCGATCGAGGATCGGGAGTCTATTGGGCGCGCTCGATCTCGTTACCGCCGGAAGATTCGTTCGTTATTGCTCCGCGTTGCCCCATAACGGTGCACCCACCCACCTGATGTTTGAGCGTCAATCGGATTTCATATATCAGGCGCCCAAAGACGAATGGAGCTATGCCTCTTTCTTCGTTCGAGAAATAAAAAAAAAAGTTTAACTTTATCACCACTTCACGGGGGCGAGAGAGAGAGAGAGACATTCGCGCCTGAGTTATGAAAGTACGGGGGTATAAGTATGATGTACCTACTCGCGAGATGACGATGATATTTCATGAAAAATTTAATCAACTCGAAATGGGTCAGAGTATAGGTAAAACATGCTGCGACTCACGTCCATGTAGCGAATTGTCCACGTGTGTGGCGGTGGTGTAACGAGACGATAAGTATCGAATTTCGAGTTGTTAAATCGGGCGTAGTCCTAGATATTCCCGTGCAGCTGCGACGGTCAGCATCTCCTCGAGATCTTCACGGGTATTATTGCCCGCCCAGCGCCAATCAATAATTCATTACGCGTAATCTCCTCCTCCTGTATCGCCCTATTTCTCCTGAAACGCACGGTCCACCACGTGTGCGCGCACAATACATTTATTGTACCGCGTGCGCGTGATGTGTACCTGTATTATACGCGACATGTATGGCAGATTTATTGGCGAGAGAGCCCTTATTTGCTATAGCGAGCCGTGTCCGAAGTGGCTCCGAGCGGCTCTTGCGAATACATCCATGCGTCGAGGAATACTACTCGGGCATGATTGCGATGTAATTTTTTCATTGCTCGATACTTTTGGCGGTGAATATTATCAGATGCAGACTTTTTACTTTTTTACAAAGAGAAGGGCATCAGCGAAGGCTCGATCGACATTGAAATTGTCGCTCTTGGACTTTAGCAAGCGAGCAAAGTCGATGTGGATTAAGTACTTAGCTCCTCGACGTTTAAATTTTGTTTTCGTACCTGCAGTTTACGTATATGTATTATATACTTGGCAAAAGAGCAAGATAACACATGGAGCACCTTTATTACGACTTTGTTTCGTGTAATCTAATGGAGGTGCTTTTCAATAAAGTAGTCGTTATACGTGTACAATTAGAAATTAATAATGTATAATAATTATGGACAATATAATGTAAATACAGCGCGAGCCGTACAAATACAAGAATTTATGGAAATTTAGTGTTGAATGTGTGCGCGGCATTCACGATTCATCGCTCTTAAAATTTCAGCAAATGTGCTTTATGCTGTACGAAATTGAAAATTCTTGTTTGTTTGTTTAATTTTTCCAAACTAAAAACTCTTAAAACTCTAAAGTATAATACTTACTTTACTCCCGTAAAAACTAGGGATTGGAATTCGTTATTAATTAAAAAAAATTTACATGTCAATAGTAAACGGCATTAAATAACTTTTTCTATCTTGGGCGTTTTTTAAACTTTGCACGTGTGCTGCGCCCTTGGTACAAGAAAAGTAGCCATCGCCACTGGTGTGCATCTGTCAAGTGCTATCACAAAGGTCCTTCGGACATTACTTCGCAAGAGAAATAATAACATGAATTACAATAATAAGTCAACTATTTTCTACGAGTTTGAGCAACTTTCCACGAAATAGTGCAATTGTATTCAAAATGTGTGTATTGGTCGACGTAATCTATAAAACATTAACAATTTGTTCACATGCACAAGTAAATTATTTATCATTGACATTTAGGTGTTTCAGCTCGAATTGTCGAGAGATTGATTATTTTTTAATAAAAATGTCAAGAAATCGTGATATCATTTACAAAGAGCTTATTGTAATTTGGTATCTTTTCGAATTTTCTTAAAAAACATCCAAAATTAAATTTTTCCGATCGCCATCACGTGCGGACTTAATTTTTTTGTTTTGTTCATTTTCCCACTTTGACGAAACCCTGAGCGCAGCAACGTTAATTAGCGGTAATTAAATCCCGACTTCGTCCTTCGCCGTCACCAAACACCCTCCAAGCTACAATTACGCGATGGGTAGTGTTTTTCCCGGGGCCATTAATCGCAGCGAAATTCCGACGAAAAATCCGTTAGCGCGTTTTACCACCGTAATCCGCGACCGAATCGAGCGGTTGTCCGAAAAATCCATTCAAATCCCAAGTTCCGCTTCCATCTGTCAATTAACGGCCGAACTGCCGTTTCTCCGAGCTCATTAGAGCTTCGCGGCCTCCTCCAACCCTCCCGACCGTCCGGGATCAGCTGGGGGCGCTCGCACAGTAAAAACGCGTCGATGGGGTGGTGCTCTGCTCCTCCATCGGTATTACCTTTTCCCACTGCAGAGTCGTTCCCGCATCGACTGGCCCGACTAACCGAAGCCACTTACCCTTCGCGCTAACGTTATTTCCTTTTTGACTGTAAACGCTTTCTCGCGTCATCCGTGTGTATATATATGCTTGCTCGGTGTGTGCCCATCTCGTGTTTTTTTCTGTAACAAGGATATCCGTACGAATAATTAAGCTAGTTGGTATACAATAATAGGAGTCAAATGGCACTCGTTGCCCCAACGAGAATTGCCTTTTTCGTTTGCAATGCAAATACGTCATGCTGTATATTTTCATTTGAATTCAGAGCAGGAAATATTTCAAAGAAATGTCAACCAATGGGCCGCTCTTTACCATTACAACAAATCTCTGACGACGTGGGATGCACGAGCGATGCAAGTAATTCAAGAAGTATCGATCCAAGAGGAATCACATGAAATCGCGTGGGTTCGGTATATATACCTGTACTTGTAGCGAAAGCAATGAAAATAATAATGATGATGACAATAACAACATTTATAATGCGTGTACGTACTATGAAAACGGAGGGGCAAGAAGTTGTGCAAGCAACCTTTGGCTCTTTATTTCTGTGCGGCTCGCCGGCTACATCGTACCCCACCCCAAGTACAGGGCTGGATCCAATTTATTTCTCGGGATATATATATATATATATATATATATAGAGAAAACGGCAAGACCAGCGGCTTGCGACCGGTTGTGCGTGACCAGCGGGTGGCTGAGTGCCCGGAGTGTATAAACCTCGGCCCCGCGGGCTACCGGCGGCTATAACCGGGCACCGGCTCTGATTGATTTCCAGTGTCGCGAGACGTTCGTCAAATCGAGTTTTGCCGTTCCGGCTGTTATGCCGCGCTCCCCCCCCCCCTTCGTGGGTGGGAAAAGCGGGAGGCTGGCGAGTCGAGAAATTAAATGAGATTAAATTACGCTTTTTTCCACCCCCCCTCCCTTCTTTTTTCTCTCCCTCTAGCCTCGGATGGAAAATTCGTCCGGCGGACAATGCGTCGCTTGGCTTTAAAACATCGCACGAGCAGGGCAAACGCAAAATAATCATTGTGTCGCTGGGAGGCATCCGTCTCGGGAATGTGTGGCGCGTTTTCCCATTTGTCATCGCATCGGAGGGAAAAATGATCAAAGTGCCATCGTGACGGGCATCAGAGGGAAAGATTTCTTGTTTGCTCGGAAGAGGGGGTGAAACTTTCGACGCGCGGTGTTGCATTTACGAGTGATAAAAACGAATATGCTCTGCATCTGCTGCGCTGCTGACGTCTCCAAACTATGCCTTGGCTGCGTAAAATGATAATACAATTGTAATACGTGTTCGCAATCTATTCCTTGAAAAATTCCGGGACAATCATAATCGAGGTTTTTGGGACGTGAGGAAATTTGTGACCCTTTTTTTTTGCAAAAGAGTGCCTCTGCATGAGCTGATTCAATAGCCAATCCAAACGAACTTGATTCGATTAAAGACGTAGTTTCTACTCGTGACCCAAAAAAATCCGCGTGGACTGTTTTTGAAATTATTGCAAAAGTTGCAGTTGCTCCCAATCCCTAGATCTCGAATGTGGCCTTTTTTTGATACTTTTTTAGTTATAATATAATTTTTCGCTCGTATGAATATTTGATTCGTTTTTACTATATTTTATGGCTATTTACTTTGTCAGCCGTTCATTTTCGAAACGCATGGCAGATAGCTCAAATTCTAAAGCAACAATCAGCTATTGTTCAGTTTCCTCCCTAAAAGTGCTTGGAATGAAAAAATAACCAACACATAATCAGAGAGTATAGGTATTATATTCTTACGTGAATCTGGTTGATTACAAGCAAAGAGATTAATTTCACCAGAGATGAAAAGATGCCAGTAGCGCTTTTACTACTGAAATGCGAGACTAAAAAATATTTTTTGACTATGAATTTTGTAGAAGAAAAAAAAAATTAACTACTGTTGCACAATATTTTCAACTAACGATTTTTTTCCAGAGTTGTCGATGTACTTCCGATGCTTCGTCTCGATGACGTCATTATAGCTAGTACACTCAGGCAACAAGTAAACTTGATTGTTTTGAGAGACCTCGACATCGATATCTTATCACGTGAAATCAAAGATTCATCGATATATCATCATCATCATCGCGTTATAGTGCACTTTACCACTGAAACATATTGAATTTCCAATTGTTTCTCTATTTTTTTTATTTTTTTTTTATTTTTCCTAAAGCATCGCGTTGATGATCAGCGAAACAGCACTGATTAGCAATGAATGTCCGCTGATTGGCACAGTTAAAATTTACTCTCTCGAAGTACGCGTGAAAATTAAAGTGTGAGTCAGCGGACGATGTTGATTTCGTTGGTTTTTTTTTTTTTTTTTTCTAGAGTTCATCGCACTAGCCAAACAAAACAAATTTAAAGGCACGAAATTCGGCAAATCATCGATTCTTACCCGTAAATATTTGTGACTCGTGCGCTTCACCAACAAAATTGGAGCTAAATATGATTATCACGTGTCACAAGTTTACAAATATATACATACATAAACGTACACGTGGTAGGTAGGCTTGGCGTGTTTCGTATGGCAAGTACAGTGACAGCGGCAAAGTGCCGCACAACTACGTCACGCGCTACTTTGTCAGGCGCGTGATGCATACCCCTCGACCTGTAATTGCTTTCGCTACGTGTTTGTTCGTTCGTTCGTTCCTCTTTTTTTTTCAAGGTAACATTTCCCAAGTTTTTGTCCACGAAGGAAAACGCTGTAAATAAAAAAAAAAAAAAAAAAAAAAGGAGATAACTTTGTAATCCATGCGGATGAATTTTCTTTTTTCTTTTCACGCCAGACGGTATCTAATAATAAAATCATCATCGCACAATTCACGATTACTGAACCCGCTCAGAGTTAGGGGGGAGAGGGGAAGTAGCTCGAATGAATGGGAGGCGTCAAAGGACTTTGCGCTCCTCTTCCCCGAAGCGCTAAATATTATTCCAACGAAGAGGCGAATGAATAATGTACCTCTGGCGATTCCACGCGGCACCGGCCAGAGCGATGGAAAAAAAAAAAAAAGTGTCGCAGGGGGTGGGCAGCCATTACGCAATCGACTACTTGGAAAAGCGTCCGGTGTATAAATATGGTTAAAATGTATTCGCTCACACGTGTCGTATACATATTACATGCAATGGAGTATACCCGATGGGCATATGCCAAGGTCGCCGGGCGATTGTTGACAGTAGCTGCTTACCTGGCCTCCTCCTCTTTCTCGGGCAACCGAACTTTACCAATCCAAGTAGAGCAAATTCCCAACGCAATCCCCATATGCGCTCTCTCGACCGCATACATGTATGTACCCACGGGCAAGTGGTCGTAGTCGAGCACGCGTCAGCCTCAAGCGGCTCGCCGATGAAATTACGGGTGGCGCGTGTGTACCCCACAATTGCGCGCACCTCCGCTTTTTTACCCTTCCCCCCCCCCCACTGTGCTCCTCCCGCGAAATTAATGAATAATCGAGCTTGCGTACTTCTCTTGAACTTGGAGTCGGGGCCGCGTCACTTGTGTGCTCCGGTCGAATTACTTACCCGCGAGCAAGAGAAACCCGAGCTTCCGTCTCCTCTTTGGTCTTCACTGCGTAAATGTGTCGCAGGGGCGAGAAAAAGGCTTATAATCAGTGAAAATGTCAGTGCTTTTCCCCCTCTTTCCCTCAGTTAAATAATCAACTGACGTCAGAATCAGAAAAATCAGCGAGTAAGGTTCTTTGGAAGTAATGTTTAAGTCACATTTATTCTTCACCAGCAATGTTTGTCCTTTATATGAAAATCGCGAGTTTGCGTGAAGTATACACGTGACGCGAGTGAGACAATGGGGGCATCGATGGTACGCGTTGTACATGACACTTGAAAAATGAAGAGATGCTCGTCCTCACGAGGGTTGAGCTGTCCGTGATTTCACCACCTAGAAACGAAAAGTGAATGCCTGTAAAACATGCATATAGGTTTTTTAGTTTTCATAGACTCGTAAAATCTCCTGATCTCGTTATTTTAGGCGATGGACACAATGGCATAAGATTCGTCTTATTCTTACATCATTCGAAAGCATATAACTCAATTTAGTCAGACAAACGCGCAATCACCATTGTAGGCAGGCAAACGAGGTATAATATATAATTGTGGACATTTTACGTTGACAGGTGTTCAATCACCACGTATAACGACAAAGCTGTTGAACGTCGCTCACCCTCCTGATGACAGATTTTTAAATATAACGACCGTACAGGATTGCAAGGAAACAAAAGGGATCGACAAAAATAGCCGTCAAATATCGTAACAATGGCAAATAATGTTGAATGTTTTTGAAAGCTGAAACAATATCGAGGATACATAAGCTTAGTCCGTTGGGGACCAAATGGTGATGTGCCTTACACGGCGTATTGGGTAAAAATTTTACAAAACAACTTTGGGGTACAAGTACACTACGAGTCGGTGGACATCAATCGGCCCGATAGCGCAATCAGCAGAAGAGCTGCTGCGAGCGGAGAGTCGTAACTGGTCCGAGCACTCCCTTGGAAAGTCCGACTTTGTCATCCGCACTTTCCGCGATACGTACAGGTCAGTAGAGCCCCAGCAACCCATCCGCGATTGTAAAAAATCTGTAAAAACGATGAAAAATATCCTCTCCTTTTTTTGACTAAACATTACTTTTGCGTCAATTTGCTTACAATTAGCAACTATGACCTTTTGGAAGACAACATCAAAAGGGGAGGTGCACTAACAAATCGTTTCACTATTAGATATTTTCATAAAGTGAATCATAGCCTTCCTCCTACACCCAAAGTTGGCAATCAGTTTTACGCCAATAAATGGCAAAGGAAGCCAGAAGTGATCGAGGGTAATCAAGCGGTTGTACCAAATTTAATCTAGACCTCATATATGTACCTCCACCCCCACGCGGTTGAACAAAAAAAGGGTGGATTTTCAGATTAAATGTCGTACGCAACGTGCGAGCACAAGTACCTATGTATATATCCCTCGGTATATAGTAATACTATACAAGTGAGAATAGTTTAGTTGCGTAGGTACAACCTAAGTAGGTATATAAATGTACGGCTGTGTGGTTTTCACGCGCGCTTGCGTCGCCTTCCCCCTCGTAAGTAGCTATAAGCCACCCCCCATGTACATTCCTATACGCGCACGTGTATATATATATACACGCGAAAGGTTGTAGGTACCTACGTCGTCGGGTAGCCCCACTGCCGTGTATAATATATATACGTGGACGTACGTCCGTTTCGTCGCATCGCCGCGCCGATCGACGACTGAGCGACCGGCCACCTTCGTGCCTTCGAGCGGCTGTCGGCCGCATTACCTGTTGCGAGTCCGAGCGCGCGCGGAACCCGAGCTGCAGTGCCCATCCCGCAAAAGGACAAACTATATTTTTTTTTTTCTGTTTTCTCCTCGAGCAAGTGTACATAAGCATACGCGTCGTGTGCGCTGGGGCAATAGGGTAAATAACAGTCTCGTTCGGTAGAGCGGTGTCGTCCTCCCGCGAGCAATATGACCATCATCAGCAGCAGCGGCGGCTCGTTTTTCGCGCTGGCCCTCCTGTGCGCGCTGGCCGGCGTGCTCGGGCGGGTGCTCGACAAGAGAAGCGCCGAGGCCACCGGCACACCCGAACTTTACCCCGATTACCCGGACTACCAGGTGAGATTTCGTTACCGATCTTTTTTTCCCCTCCCCCCCCTTCTCTTACCGATTTTTTCTTTCCTTCCCTTCTTTCGGTTCACCGATTCGCAAGTTTTTTGAGTCTTCGGTGCACGCGCACGTAGAGGCATGTGTATATCAATTGGCCCATTAATTAAAGCTCTCGGGTCGGGATGATTGTGTCCGGGGAAACATCGCGCGAGCGATTGATAGTTGCTAACTAATTGGCGGCGAAATGCGATCGTCAGGCGAAATTTCCGTGAAAAGAGTTCGCAAATACGTGGGAGTTGCGAGAAGTTTATTTTCAGCGGCACGGTTTTTGCCGTGTCCCTGTATATATTGAGTACATTGTTACATACGAACCAATCTGGTGACCATTAATTGCGCAAACTCTCGTGTGATAACGATTCCATTTTTTTTTTTTTTTTTTTCACAACTCATTCAAATATCGTTGAAAATTGTTAAGGATATTCCTGACAGGATTTTATCATCCGATCATAAGAAAATTATGTATCAGTAACAGTACAGGGCTCATCTCGATGTAAATGAGACGTGCGAATTGCAAAATGACGATTGCACAAGCACTCGAAGTCGACATGTATATTTACATGCTTTGTTTTACCGAAGGGGTCATATTATCGAGAAGAAAACGTTTATGGGCTCGTCATGCAAATATTTGTATCACTTTCTTTACTTGTAGAGTTGAATGAGATATTGATGAAAAGAATATTACGCGTGAAAAGGGCGTACTTATGTAATTATTCGGTGTACGAGCAAAAGGTGCGAGAGAGTTGTTTTTCAGAATTCCCATTTGCGTAGAACCGACGATTTTCAACACACCGCGGTTGGATAAATTTTCTCAAAGTACTTATTGCCTGACGGCTAAAAAAGTATACGGGGGGAAAAAGTTCCGGGGTATATAGCCGTGCAGCAAAGTTTCCTGATACGTCGAGGATACGAATGGGATGGTCTGCTGTTGTAAACTGATTCAAGAAATGAGCTCCAATTTTATTTTTGCAAAGCATTTTCTCGTAAACAGTCGTACCCGATAGGGTAACAAAAAAAAAAAAAAAAAAAAAAAAGGAGATAACTTTCTAATNTTACAGTCATCAGTCATTTTCAAACGTAATTAGGAGCAGCATCCACGCAAGTAATCGACGCAGGAAGATCACAGACAATTTCATCTTTAAGATAAACATTAAAAAAAAAGATTGAAAAATGTTTGCAATTTCGGGATGACGTAGCGCAAAGGGTATACATCCTCAACGGATCCTTTGAAGTTGAAACGAATAAATAGTGCGCGAAAATAAAAGCAAACAAACATTTTGCGTCCGAGAGTCCCAAACGCGCTTCCTAAAGGAAATATTTTTTTTTTTTTTTTTGCATCGGTACAGTGGCACGGATATTACTTTCGCGTATTTTATAAATTGACATAATACACCTGGTTGGTATCCAGTTATTCTCAAAGTTTAACTCCGCCCCTGTATTTCTGCTCGGCTTGCTTTGGAGCAATTCCGAGGAATATAGGACGTGTATACGGTGATGAGAAGTTAATTCGCAGAGTTGCTTGCCGTCACCCGCACGAGGGTAGACCTGCTGAAAAAAATTTCTTCGATCGCGCGCCTTACGTGTTTTCTGGTTAATTTTTCATTAAATGACAATTATAGCGCTCTTTCCACGACACGCGTGGGTATCCTTGGTGGCGATGGGAGTGACTTTTGTATGAAATTTCATCAACTGCTTCGCAGGTCAACGTCTCTGATTGAAGATAAGCCGAGATGAAAGTGCACGTAGTGAATTAGACTCGAACATCTTACCAACTCACTCACGTGCCTGCTAATGGACGAAATCCTTTTTTTTTTTTCCTTCGAAATTCGATCAAGAGCTTTGATGGGGGAAAAATGGTACGGAAAAACGTAATCGTATTAAACGTCGCATGAAGAAAATGTTTGCTCTTACTTTGATAAAATTCATCATCTGTCGCCCAACACTCAAATAAAAGAAATCAATCTGTTTATGGCGCGTGGGCGCCTCTCGCCAAAAGGGATATTTAGCTATAAAAAACGACTGTGACTCACATATATATATACGCGTTGCGCTACTCTTCCACCATATGGTATTTCTTGCGCCTAATTGGGAATTATTAGGCCTCTTTTTTTCAATTTTTCCTTCATCCCACGCAAACAATGAACTTTTCGGAGTCCACATACGCTGCATCTCCGTATGCGTCGCATGTATTTATTGAAAAATAAATCCTTGATTCACACGACTATAGCTACCCAATCAATTAATTGTACCATTTGATGCTTTTCACTCGGTACACGTCACGCATCCTGATACGGAATATTCTTTACAAACAGAAAAATTGAAGATCCCTAGTGATAAGAAGCAAAAAAAATACATATTAATAAAAAATTAATTTTTTCTTCACAGATCATAAAAAACAATGAAATTTAGTGCAAAAATTATTACAAAACGGCTCGCCATGAGTATTGGTATACTTTTACTTTTATCACGCAGATGGTACCTTACTGTATTAGCTAATTTTTTTATAAAATATATTGTACAAGTATTCACACATATTATAATTACAGGAGTACAAAAAAGAATAATTGTACTCTTGATGCGTTACACGAAAGAAAATGTATTTACATACCATCGCAAACGAACACATAATCAATCTATTTGATTGCAAATTGTGTTTACCCANAAAGTTTGACGTAAAAATACATACAAGTATCCGAAAAAATTAGCCATAAGATGAAATTAAAAAAAAAATACTAATCACAATAAATGCAAATTTAATATTGCAGAGGAGGAAGATGACGGGTTCGGAGGCGGCAGCCGAGACACCGGCGCCTAGCACGGAGAAATCCGCGAGCAACCCGTTATAAAATATATTGTACAAGTATTCACACATATTATAATTACAGGAGTACAAAAAAGAATAATTGTACTCTTGATGCGTTACACGAAAGAAAATGTATTTACATACCATCGCAAACGAACACATAATCAATCTATTTGATTGCAAATTGTGTTTACCCACCTTTCTCGTGTTTTTTTTGAAACATCGAATTAGATTGAAAAGTTAATCACTTGCATTACGCACAGCGCGTAAAGCCCCCTTTGCACTAGTGAAAATAAGCGATTCTTGACGCATGTTTGTATAAAAAATCGGATGTAACGCATTACATGATTAAAAAATCAAGCAATCCAGTTATCAAAAGTTTGTAGTTGATAATTATTTCCGATAATTGATGTGGATGCTTACCCGTGCATCTAATGACTGTCAACTTTATCATGATAAACTTGAAATATCACTGGGGATTGATGCGTTAACAAAGTTGCCTCGGATGAGCTAATACATCCACGTTATATTGCTAAAGTGTTAATTATATTGAACATCACCGCGAACAAATGTTTTTAACTATTTTTGAAAGGAAAAGTGGTATACATATTTTTTTTTTACTGGAAAAAATAATCTATATGATCGAGAATAAAATAAACTGCGGAGTGGTGACCATTAATTGCGCAAACTCTCGTGTGATAACGATTCCATTTTTTTTTTTTTTTTCACAACTCATTCAAATATCGTTGAAAATTGTTAAGGATATTCCTGACAGGATTTTATCATCCGATCATAAGAAAATTATTTAGGTGTTTTTCAAATTATAGTTTTGCGCTTCGATAGTAACTATAGTCCTTTTCGTTGGAAATTTTTAAGTAATTAAGTACTTGAAAGTTGGTAAAAATATATTTTAAAAAATCCATTACTAAATATCCAAAATAATTTGGAAAAAAAATTGGGTTTACAATCGCAAAGATGAGAAATTTCAATTAAAAGCAGATTTCGTAATCAACTCCTGAATGTCATTCAAAAGAGCTCAAGTTTTTTTGGTATGTGCATTAGGGATTAACTACACATGGCAATATTGAGAAGATTGTAGGGATAATCGTGATGTGGCGAGTAGTAAGCCTTGCCTAGCTAAAAATTATGTGTATACGTTACGTGCGATTTTTCTCTAGATGTTCGATACTGCAAGATTTTTTGATTTTTTTTTTAAAGTAGAATTGAATGCCATAAATCTGAATTGACTAAGAAATTGGTTATCAGTAACACGAAACTTTGAAAAGTATACCAATACTTTTATAACAAAGAAAAAAAAATTCTTTAATCAACTTTATACAATTGTTACACAAATTGTACAATATTCATTAATTGCTTATATTGGATAAATCTTGAATGGATATACAGAAGTATATACCATGGCATGAGGTTACCAAATGCTATGATTGTGTACACTGGGAAAAAAAAAAAAAAAAAAAAAAAAAATTACTCGTTGATTACAGAAAGCCATGCCAAAGAGAGCAGCTCTTTTGCTGGACAGGTTACTAGTGGCCTTGCAAAAAGCCGTGGACAACGAGGAAATCGGCAAAAACGGTTACAAGACGTACGCGAGAACCCTCCCAAATTACTCGGACATTCCCGAGTCGGAGCACGGGATGCAACTGACTGACGAAAGGACGGTGAGCTTCGTTTTCCCTATTTTAATTATTCTTAATCCTTTTTCAGGCAAAAGTTCACCCTTTAACTAAAAAATAATCTTGCAGATGGATCTTCAACGGCGTGGACAGGCAAAGGGTCGCGTTTACTGGCGCTGCTATTTGAACGCAGTGACCTGCTTCAAGAGAAAGTGATCATTTGTTTGATAACACAGAGAGTATACGGCGGTCTTTCCGTTATTACAGCTTTACTTGAACCTTCGATGCACCTATTGTGTGCGTAAATAAGAAAATCAGAATTAAATACAGGAACGAATTAATTTTTTCGTTATCTTTTCACTGGTATGTGCTTCTCTATATTCGTTCTATTGTAAAAAAAAATAATTTCGTTTCATTCAAGAAAAACTCAAGAGTTTGCCTTGATTATTGTATTTTTTCACCATTTTTAGTTTATTTTTCTTACTATCATGTTTTTTTTTTTTTTTTTTTTTTATACGTACTTAAACTTTTTACTCTCAAGTACGCTAATATGTATAGTTCCTAAGCGAAAGACTAAGAACTTATTGATATTAAAGCATTTTAACGTGCATTAATTAAATGTTATACAAATAATACGTGATGTATGATATTTTACGATCTAACTTTACAATAAAACTCTGTACTCAAGGAATTTCACTCACATAATGGAACGACAATTTCAACGTTGACCGCCTGTTATTAAAAATGAATGGTTTGAACACTATTCTTACGAAATAATCTGTGTACAGAAACGAATTGTGTTTAATAATTAACGACTGCAAAGGATCAATAAAGAGTCAAATAAAAAATATACTTGTGTAAATTTCTAGTTTATTTTTTGTGCATTTAAATACTTCGTTCTCAAAATCTTGTTAAGTAAACGTTATGTATTATATCTCTGTACTCAAATGATTTTGAGCATAATAGAAAATCTACCAAAATTTTCATATTTTTTTTTTATTCAAAAGATACACGGTATTTAACAATAATTTATTTTGTCGGACGCTATCTTCAAAAACTGCTGTGCATCAGAGTATATATCAGTATAATCGCGTAAATTTTCACGAGATTCTTTCTTTGAAGCAAATGCCTGTTTTTATAAATTAAAGGAAAAAAATTCTACGTCAATTTAATAGCGTGGTTTCAAACAAAATCACTCGTTGTTCTAAATCAGTTATTTTTCAAAAAATTTTGAACTAAACAAATTTGGCGCTTTGACAGTTTTAAGTCGATAAGTACATGTCTACCTTACCGACTGTAGCTCAGCAAAAGTTCTCCTCTCACTGGTCAGGTCAGGTGCTGTCATAGAGATATAAGGGTGCTGTTTTGGCAAATGACAGGAGAGAGGCTGCTGCAGTTTGGTGAACTTGCTGTGTTATTTATTTGTGTTCATTGAGTGCTTTGCCAAAAAAATATGCATACAAAGAAAATCCCTTAAAAGTTAATACTGGAAAGGCAAGAAAAAACGATTACACAAGTGTCAGTTAGATAACGAGGTAAGCTCAATGTATTTTTTTTTCACAAAGCCAATCAGTAAAGTGGGTGCGTGTTCGTATACGAGCAGACCGGTAACATAACCTTACTTATGAGTTATGAGAAGAAGGAGGAGCAATTGCACACGCACAACTCGAAACTGTGACTTTCTTTGCCCGGCAGTGTTATTTTAAAAAATTAGATTAGTTGATACAAGCTTACAATTTATTGCAGAGGAGGAAGATGACGGGTTCGGAGGCGGCAGCCGAGACACCGGCGCCTAGCACGGAGAAATCCGCGAGCAACCCGCTGGAGCAGTTTGTTTTGCTGGCCAAGACGGCGAAGGGCGCTGCTGCCCTGGAGCTCATCAAACAAGCAGTGGAGACCCCTGGAGTGCACGTCTTTGGCGAGTTGCTCGACATGCCCAACATCAAGGAGCTGGAGGACGGACCCCATGCTGCCTACTGGAACACGCTCAATTTGTTCGCCTATGGTACTTACAAGCAGTACTTGGAGAACAAGAGCGAGCTGCTCGAGCTTACACCAGTCCAGAAGAAGAAACTTCAGCATTTGACCATCGTTACCTTGGCCACCAAGTCCAAGTGCATACCCTACTCTGTCCTCCAGGAGGAGCTCGATGTGAAGAACGTAAGAGACCTCGAGGACTTGATAATTGAGGCTGTGTATGCAGACATTATACACGGCAAACTCGATCAGAAAAACTCGCAGCTCGAAGTCGACTATGCAGGCTTGGGACGAGACGTCAGGCCCGGGGACACGGGCGCTGTTGCTCAAACGCTTGCAGAATGGGGAGAGACTTGCAGTGCCATTTTAGAGTGTATTGATCAGCAAGTTTATCGAGCAAATACTGAGAAACAAAAAGCAACGCATCACAAAGATAAACTACAGCAAGATGTTAGTGATTATTTTTTCAGCAGTGAAGTTCAATTTTTTTTTTTATTTTTTTTTTTTTTTTTAATATTTAAAATCTTTTGTTTTTAGATTGCGAATATAAAGAAAAACTTTGTTGCTCAACTTACTGTTGGTGGAATTCAAGAAGTAGAGATGGTGGCAGGTGGCTCCGGCACAGGAAGCAATGATTCTTGTCGGGAAGCCTTACCAGTTCCTCCTGATGCAAAGAAAAAGTTGCCAAAAGGAAAAATCATAAGAGGAAGTGGTAAGTTTTGGAAGAACTAAGCTAATTTTTATTTTAGCTCGAAAACTCATTGATGGTGTTGTAAACGTGCTGATTGATAAAAAAAACTTTCAAGCTTGCATCAGTCAGATGAAGAAAATATTCTATAAATTACGTCTTACTATTATAAATCGACATGCATTATCACTATTTCGATTACACGTATATAAACATCGACGTTTTATTCTTAAATAGTACGTTGATGTATTTGATGTATATTATCAGTTTTTACTAGTAATACGATTTAATGTTTACCCATTTCACAGACTGTAATTAAATATAAGTTAGGGTTATGATTGTGGTCGCAAATAATAAACATTTGTTAAAAAACAAAAAGTGATAAAATAAATTGTATTTTTAATATTACTTTATTGAGAAAGTCTAATTTAATTTTTGCTTACGAGACATTTCTTTTAAGTTATTTTTCTTTTTTTTTTTTTTAATAACAATCTTAGTGTCCAGCTAACTTCTTTTTTCAATTCGTATCTAAATATGATTAGATTTTTTTTGTTCCCCGAAAGTGTTCAATCAGCAATATTTCAAGTCTGATTTCACATAAACGTGTTCCTTTGGATTTGATCGTTCTCTCAATTAATTTTGAATTATTCTTTTTTATTGACCTATTTCATTTTTTCTGATTTTCGAACATCAAGTTAATGAGAAAAGGATTCGAGATCGAAACTGGTGAATGATTTAAGAAAATGAAGAGTTGGTTGACGTGACATTCCTTGCTGTTTAATCATAGAGCAATCGCTACCTTTGGATCAAGGAAATATCAGCCAAGTAGGAATGTTTTTCGAATTTTCCTGCAATACAATTTTTTTATGACGCATGATTCATTGAAACTTTGAAAATAAAAAGTTTTGTACGAATTAGAAAAATTAACTTCTGACAGTAAGTAAGAAATCACATCATTTGTGTAAATAATGTTGTTTGCGATAAACTGTTGCTGAAAAATTGTAAAAAAATGTGGTTGCAGAAATGAAGCAAAAAAATGTATTCTTTTTCTTGATTTAGTAATAATTTCTTATTTATTATGTAGGTGCTTACAGTTATATACACAATGATTCTATGATTTATACAACATCGCTGAAATTTTCATTTACAGTTTCTCGAGTACATCACAAATTATGAAGTATCATACCTATTTCGAGTATAACTAGCCCCTTTAAGGATCAAAGAGATAGTTATCTTAAATCACAAGAGACTAAGAGTTGCAGACTCTAATCAAAATTTTTGTAAGACTTTTTCACTGAACCTTTTCATTTCGTACAAGATCGATTATAGAGTCTAACAAAAATTTAAGTATCGAGTAAAATAAAATATTACTAAAATATTCTGCTGATTTATTGTATTTTTTACATTCAAGTGATGATATTGTCACATATAAAAAAACAATTTTTTTTATCAACCCGTCAAAGAGAAAAAAGACCGTCCATGGACAGTTTAAACTAGACAACTTAACTAAAGAATTCAAGTGCATGATTTCCTTTCAAAAAGTTTGACGTAAAAATACATACAAGTATCCGAAAAAATTAGCCATAAGATGAAATTAAAAAAAAAATACTAATCACAATAAATGCAAATTTAAAAATAAAATAATAAATTTCCAATATCTTCAAAGTTTAATTAAAACTATTATCTTTATTTACTCAGTGGACTGCCTTCTATAATTGGTCCAAAAGTTTATTTAAATATTTCCAAATTTGCCTCGGTCTTTTTTACAGCCACAATCACATACGATAGTGTGGACCAATCTCACGTAACATTATGAATTATGAATAATTACCTACTTATTTTAATTTATGTTATTTACGTTGATGCTTCTTTTTCTACATAAAATTTTTTTTTTGCTTTCAACCGTCGCTGAATGTGTATCAAACTAGAAAATCAGATTCTTTTGTAATTAACCAAAAACATTTTGGGAATGATTTTCGTAGGACAGTACGAGACGATAATTAAGAATATACATATAATTAGTAAAAATTCTATTTTTAATGATACGTCAGCAATATTTTTTTAAAAATAATTATTCTAGTTTCATGCTAAAATACAAGGAAGCAATGAAGGGTTGGTAGCTAAAAATTTTTTAATTTGAAGAACTACCCGCTTTACTTGAACCTTCGATGCACCTATTGTGTGCGTAAATAAGAAAATCAGAATTAAATACAGGAACGAATTAATTTTTTCGTTATCTTTTCACTGGTATGTGCTTCTCTATATTCGTTCTATTGTAAAAAAAAATAATTTCGTTTCATTCAAGAAAAACTCAAGAGTTTGCCTTGATTATTGTATTTTTTCACCATTTTTAGTTTATTTTTCTTACTATCATGTTTTTTTTTTTTTTTTTTTTTTTTTTTTTTTTTTTTTTTTTTTTTTTTTTTTT